CCCGTGGAATGTTGCGGGGAACAAAGAGTGCGAGGGGCCATCGTTTCTCATTTCGCCAATTTTTTCAAGCAGTAACTACATATTAAAAAATAATAATAATAAAATAAATAAATAATTTTTTCAATGTATTTCTGACAGGGGGGTGCAAGTGCAACTATGTGCTGTCTTTTTGTGCTGAGATTTTGATTTTGTAGATTTAGAGCGTACATTAAGGCCTTGTTGAATTTACTAACATTTTCTCACCCTGACGAGAGAATATCCTAGCAAATTAAAATAATCAATCTAGAGATGGCTCAAAAACAACTATAGCTGAGTAGCTTCCCGTATGGGACCTCAGTACCTGCTGGGAGACTGGCTAACTAACAAAAAAACTCTTCAGTATTGAATATAGGTAGTGTTAATGAATGTTGTGTGTGTAATTGAAATTTTAGCACAAAAACAGGGGCGGTACCTTTCAATTGTTATTAAAATTACACAGTATGTTTCGATTTTTGAGGAATATTAGATCGAGGGTTTCTCTGCCGTGCTCGTTCGCTTCGTTAGCTCCAGGATAAGAACGTTATGATTTACTTCAATAATAAAGTAGACGTTTCAGAAATTTTTCATTTCTTTTACATATCACAACCTCCCTTAAATTTCCCTAATATTTGCTATGTCAGGCGGATGTCCAGTAAGTAAAATTGAGTAAGTTTCCACAACGTTGGTCCTATTTGTTTTTCATTTCGTTTTTCAGATATGTTATTTGAAAGGTGATAAAAATTCACACCGTTCAATCTTGCTGAACGAACCCGGGTATGTTATACTACACCGTGTTCCTCCGATGACTGGATTCGATGTTCTTGGACCTCCTGCATTATTTATTTTAAATGATTACCAACATTCCAGCAATGTTGGTGAAGACATCTTATGGATTAACCTCCAAACCTAAGGCTTGATGAAGTCCTAATTAAAAACGAAGAAACGTTGCCGAAATACTAATTGGTTTTCTTTCCTATCCCTAAACCCAAGAAACTTTCAGATGGAATTGACAGGGAACGAATCACAATCAGTTATTGATTTGCATTCGGATGTTGATTTTCAATAGGTTGAAGAACAGAACACAAAGACGCACATCTGTCGAACTCGGAAGCAGGAGGTAACATCGTTGATAAATAATAGGAAAAGAACAGGTCCCATGTGTGATCCTTGGGGAATACCGGAAGTAACCTTGACGTTTTTTTGAAGAAAAGCCACACATTTCTACCGTCTGGGTTCGATCTCCAAGATATCGAGTCTTCAAAAAAAAAACTAATCGAAGATTGCTATGGTTTTTTAAACGCGTGTCTTAGCAATATTTTTCTTTAATTTTGTCAATGAACCTAATGTCAAAATGTCATGTCAAAAATCCTGACCAATAAAGAAACAATAATGCGACGTACGTTTTCGTAACAAAAGCAATATTTGATTGTTTTTTTTTTTGAAGACCCGATATTATTTGGTCCATGCCAAATAGTTTCCAGAGATACCAATATATAGATAGTTTTTCAAAGTAGAAGGTACAAACGCTATTAAAAGCCTTGGCTAGATCTGTTTAAATGGAGTCGATCTTGTGTCCAACCTCAACGGAGGTGATCAAAGCTGCTAGGTTGGATGCAGTTGAAAGTTTGTTAAAAAATCCGTGTTGTTCTGGTTTATATGGTAAAGTGAAGTTACGAATATTTCCTCGGCTAAGATTGATTCGAACACTTTTGGAATGGCAGAAAGTATTGATATTCTACGGTAGTTCTCAACAGCGCACCTATCTCCAGACTTGAAGATGGGTAGAAGGTAGGAAAGCTTCCGTATTTCAGGAAACAGGTCACAATCCAAAAATTGTTGAAAAATAATGCAAAGTGGTAAGGCTAAAGAAGACAAGCAACCTTTCAGAAATGAAGTCAGTATTTCGTCGGTAAGTACTTGCTTTTTTGGATATATCCAGCAGCTTTAACTTGTCTGTAATTTCTTGTGTCTGGAAGTTATTAGATGAATTAGGTACTAGCTGACATCACATACATAACCTCACTTTCGATAGGGGGACAGAAAAAGCGTTTATTTTTAACCATCTATGAAATGTTGTTATAACTGACTTTTAAAAAATTCGAAAATGTCACATTTCTGTCTTTTCATTTTCCTGCTCCATTACCTGTCCCAGGACGGGAAATGAGGACAGGAAGTTTTTTCCGTCCTCATTTCCCGTCCACGGACGGAAAATGGAGTAGGGAAATATTTCCCATCCTCATTTCCTTCCTCATTTTCCGACCTCATTTGGTTGTCCGATTTTTTTTTTTCAAGAAATTATGGTTAAAAAAATTAAAATAGTATACAACCCTCGATGGGAAACTTCATTGCTGTCTCGAGGTTCAGTTTATCTCGACGCTACGTGGCTCGATAAACTGTATAACCTCTCGACCAGCAATGAAGCATTTCCCGTCTCGGATTGTAATATACTATTAAGGACTATTTACAGACGTCATTTTCACAGATTAATCTGTGGTCACTTTGATAGGGGGACAAACATTGCACAAACAAACCAAACACTATAAAAGCACTCAAAACAACAGGTTTTATGTTCCAAACTCTAAAAATATCAGAAAATTTCCAAAAATTTCACAAAACTCGAAAAACAAAGCAATAACATTAACTTTAATGTAAAAACACTTTCAGCAAAAAACACAAAATATCATCGCCGACGGTAATAAAAATTACAAAGCGGACACTGAAGCAGCATTGAAAACTGTGGCACTGTCTGGTACTAGATAAACATAGACTAATGCACAGATTAATGATAAAGAAAAGTCACTGCGCCAGGTGCTGCGACGGACTTGTCTGAACAGGTAACAGGTTCATTTGAGAGATAGGTACCTATGACATTTTTGTCCCCCTATCAAAATAACGTTATATGATTTGTGAGTGGGTAATATACTCCTAGACAAAATTATCGAACCACTGCACATAAGCATCACATAAGCAGTGGTGCGATAATTTTGTCCAGGAGTATAGCTATCGCCTGTGTGTTACGAATAGAACATACAGGCTTTGTTTGTCCCTCGATCGGAAGTGAGGATATGTGTTTGACGTCAGCTAGTGCCTAGACTGAAAGGGGAATACCCTGAAAACGGGTTTCATAGAAGAAAATGATCATTGAATCAACGTTGAACCAATCAACATAAAAACTGGTAGCAATCGAACGTAGAGTTGGGGAAAAAGTAGACACAGCTATAGTCTATCGTTTCTCAAATGAGACAAGGCAAAAATTGGGGTTTCCTCAAATTATCGTATTGCCCGTTAAAATTATTATACGATTTATTAGGAAAAATATATTGAGCGTGCCCGTATACATTGAATGCTAATCCAAGTGCAAACAATGCATATTATTGGTTGTTTTATACAGCCAACGTCGACTCCAGGAATATCTTATTGGTTAGAATTTTTAGCGGCGTATTTGGCGGCATATTTCTTTGACGCGGCGGCGTCTTTGGCGGCATATTTCTTTGTAGCGGCCGCCGCTTGCGAATCAGTTTCGTCTGGAAAGACAGTGCAGTAGATAGTTTTTATTAATTTGAAACCTATTTGAGTTGTATCATGCCTCATGTTTTATTTTATATAAAACTGTTTTAATAAATTTTTTTTACTCTGCCCGTGCTTCAGAAAGAAAATGCCGACGGCCAAAGGAATATTTTTTTTTTACTGTCTCATTTGACTATCGATAGACTATAACAATTATTTTACTTCCGTCGCGATTGAGTTGTAAAGATACCGGAGGAGTGAAGGTGCCCCAGTGTAGCAATTAGTACTCCGCCCCTGCGTTGACTGCCCAGCTGATTATAGTTCCATCCCTTCGACAAACTGTATACTGGGAGTTGAGTAATTCTGAGTTGTAGAAAGTGTCATTCAGCTAGGTTTCGGTTAATGCTTTTATTTCGAAGTAACATGCGGACGTTGATCTCATAATTTCAGTCCTCAGACCACGAACATTCTGATAAAATAGAATGTAAACTACAGCAGTCAACCACAAAACACTACCCGTCTATCGGCATCGTCAGCTGTTGGTATGACTGATATTTGAATGCTCGATATCCGCGCTTTTTCAGTATTTTTTTTGCTGATTTGTGACTTATCTGTAACTCTTGACTAATGTTTCTTAAAGAAAGCGTTTGATCAATCTCAACTATAAGAAGAACGGTAATATCGATCTCGATTTCTTTCTTGCCTAAAACAACTCTCAACACACGGAAAAGACTGATGAGATGGATGTTGCCGGTTCGGATATCTTCGACCATACAACTCAGCAGCATTCCTTGAATTTTTATGACATTCTCCAATTATTCATAACATAATTATTTACTTTTCCACTTTGAGCAGGTTTTCATTATTCTGACGAAAAATTAAAGTGAAATTCAAAGAAAATTGAGAAATTTTTACATCTGATCATAAAGCGTTTGTCACATTGACCACCTGGATGCAATATTGAAAGTGGCTCTAAAAAAATCAAGAAAGTGTTAAAACTTCTAAAAATATCTCATTCTGATCCAGAATTGTCTAAGAAATCAAAAATGTTGAAATATACAGGGTGTTCTATTCAAAAATTCAAAAATGGAGTCATTTCCGGTGAAACCAGAAATGATCGGAAAGTGAAAAATATACGAAAACTCTCATCTTCCTATATCAAATCTCTTTTTGATACAACTTACACTCCTGGGTCCTTATTCTCGAAACCGGGGAACAGCGTTCTCATAAGAACGAAGGTTCCGTCTTTGTCAGAGTTACGAAAATATGAATATGAGCGATGAAGACAGAAACTTCGTTCTCATGAGAACGCTGCTCCCCTGTTTTGAGAATAAGAACCCAGAACTTATGGCTTGTCTAGTAGATTTGTTGACACCCGGTATATAGCCACTCTAATACAATAACAATCCACTTTACAGCCTATGAAACTAGACAAAGTACCTAATCATAATCAATATTATCAAAATAAGTCTTACACTGCTCAGTGTTACTTCAGCCATAAATGTACCAAATCCTTCATTTAACCATAAATCAGACCACCATTCCATCGTCACCAAATTTCCAAACCATTGATGGGCAAGTTCGTGAGCTATCTTAGCAAACACGAGGCTTCTTGTTTTGAGACTTCTAGAAGCGGGATCGAAAAGTAGGGTGGACTTCCTAAACTGAATCAAACCCCAATTTTCCATAGCGTCCATACCAAAGCTGGGAATAGCGACCAAATCCAATTTGGGCAAAGGATATTTAATGCCGAAATATTGTTCCAAAAATGGTAAGATTTCCTGGGCCACGTCGAGAGCGAATTGGGCTTTGGGCAAGTCATCGGTAGGAGCCCAAACCCTAAACACCGGTCCGGCACTGGAGTTGGCTGAAATAAAGCCAAAGTCGCAAATTGTAAATGCCACCAGGTAAGTGGACATTGGCGGAGTTGGTTCAAAATGGTCCCAAACCCAACCGGTTTCGTTCATGGGTTCCATTTCTTTAACGGGCATGTTAGACAGTACAGTCATGTTTGTTCTTCTTGCTATGCTTATTTCGAATGGTGCTTTGAATAGAGGTTCGTCGAAGCATGGAAACACTGTTCTGGCGTATACTGAACCGAATTGGGTTGTTGCTAACCATCTAACAAATTGAGTTAAAAATTGTTGTGGGCGAGATATGAAAAAAAAGGGTGGAAAGAAAACTTACTTAACATTTCCAGACAGATCAGTATAACTAGTTCTATACAATCCCACTAAATTATTGGTAATATTTCCAGAAAATTTAATATCGACGGTATAAGTCTCACCATTAAAAAGTCTATCCTTTAAAATTATAATTATCTTTAGATTGAGTGGGTCTCTGATGACTTCGTGAATTGCCAAAGGATGCAGCTCAGATGTTATTAATATCTATAAAAGAATATATTTATCTTTATCAATCAATATGGCTATAGTAATTCTCACTCTTTCCGTTACAGGTTCTGTAACAATTTCAGTAGTAGCCATTTCTTCAGTTGTGTCAACCATAATATCATCTTCAGCAAGAATAGCTCCGTTTTCTACATCTTCTGAATCTAAAATCTCCCTTTTAGCGACAGTGTGATTCTTCTCGTGCACTTCTTCCTGTTTCACAGTTACCACTTTGATATCAGAATCCAATATGTTGAGTTCTTCATCCCAGTTTAACACTATTTTGTCTGTAGATGTTGTACAGTTTATCTTAAATATATTTTGAAATTAATGTAAAATATAATATAATAAATTAAAACGACAAACTGTGGAAGAGACAGTTATTGTTACTTACCACAATTTTGACTTGTCCGGTAAACGTAAAATTATCGTCACTAGGCTCGTCCAATAAGGGATGAAGCTTGAGACGATAGTGGATGGGATGAATGTGGATGGGTAATCGGACATCTTCCTGGGCCACTTCTTCATTGATGGTTTCGTTAAGGAGTTGTTCAAGATCATTGACTTCGGGTCGCAGCTTAACAGAAAAAAAGATGCAGGGTGTTTAGGAATTACTTTCAATTTTTGAATCGTTATTTGGCATTGGCATTAGAGATGGAAAATTTATCAGGCGGATAGAAAAGCCGATATCTGGAGTATAGCAGAAGTATATACTAACCCAATTAAGTTTTAAAAATTCCAGAGAGGTATGAAGTTTAGAGACATATTTTTTTTAAGCCTGAAAGGTTTATCAATCTTCGGTTTTATTGTAGTTTTAAGCTTTACTTTTGCACTCCCTTCATACAGCTGAATTTCTTATTCGTAGGTTAAGATAAAGCAGAACGGTTTCCAGATCTTTCTTAAAGTAAAATAGCTTTGAGCTAGAAATTTTTGCAGCATTATTACGGCTACTTTAAAACTATTCGCGTTTTTGATGCTAAAAGGCTGTAATATCAGGTGATTACAATGTTGTTACAGCTCTTCAATAAAACACAATAGTCTTAAAATATTAAGCTTCTAATTTCACATTCTTAAAGCTTTCATATAACCTAGATAATGCCAAAAAGCATTTAAATTGTTACTTGGGCAATGATACAGTGGGAAACTTTTCATATTTAGTAAAGGTATTTGTTTCGATAAATTTACCCACTTAAGCTACTGATTAATAGATGATTAGGCAGGTTGATTGCATAAAGTTTTTGATATAGGTACGGATCGAGGTTGCTGGTCAAAAGTTTCCAAAGGTATTTGCATAGCGAATCAAAATACAACCTGATACTAACAATACTCCTCCAAAACGACGTTTCATTTAAAGTTCGACTCAGAATGTTTAGCTTATTTCAATGACCTCGAAAAGGCACTTATCCTACTGATCCCATTCTTATCTATCCAAATTTTGAAACGTGTCTTAACAAATGATGGCAGCGCATTTGCTGGATGACCTTTTTTTTATCCCAAGATTGCCCAATCGCTACCGTCTCTAGAATTCCTCCCAGTACCAGTAGGTACTGTAAATTCAACAAATCAACAATTCAAGAAAGAGAACAAACTATGATTCCGGCTGGCTGTAACACACACAAACCAGCAGGAAAATCTTGCCCAGCAAGCTAAGTGCTCAAATGTTGGTAAAAGTAGAAAGCTCGAGCTAAATTTCCATGGGCCCTTCGTAATTAAAAAGATGTTAGATAACGATCGTTACATGATTGAGGACATGCCGGGCGCGAAAAAGTTACTCTGGTATATGTCCCACAGATAAGATTAAACTGTTCAAGACGGTTGCCTCTTCATCTGACTCTTTGACGGATTCCGAGGATGGTTCATTAAGAAAACTTGATGATAATTCACACGAAGTGCTGGCGAAATTTCAGAAAAGACGTAAAATGACAAAAAGTTTATGAACGTTTGATTTTCCATTGCAACGTGCGATGGATGAGATGAGTGAAAAGTCACTCGGGAGTGAAAGTTGCTTTCGACAATAGAGAAAAATCTCTAGAAATGTCTAAAGATAGTGCGTTTCAGCGGGACGCTCCTGAGCGACAAACGAAACGTCGCCCGAAGACAAAACGTGTCAAAAAAAGTCTACCAAAAACGTTGGTAGTTGGGAAAAGTCCTTTGATAAAGCCTTGGATCCCTTGGGAGATTTTATGAATGGTGATGAATCATCGCGCAGTCAATGTGAAAGTCATTCGATTGCGGATGCTAATAGACCGTCAGATAGTGACAGATTTAGGTGCCCCATTTTCGCATACAAGCCTCGAGGAGGGTTGAAAAGTACTTCGATGTTGAGTAGAATGAAGTGAAATTCACGAGTCGCCCCTGGGGATAAAATATGGAAAATTCGATTTTCCTTAACCGAAATAAAAGGTATCTGTTGCCTATATTTCCATGCAAGCCGTGTTCACTAAATGATTAATTACTAAAAACCTAGCTTCGGAAAACCAAAGGCTTGAGTGCTGCAGGTGGCTAAAGGGTTGAAAAAAAGGCTTTATCTTGTGAGAAAAAATCGAAATTTCGACCGATTTTTGCACACAAGCCTATCGGAAGTATGAAAACGTTCATCGTTACTACCCCGAAAAACATATTGGCTTGAGTGGCGGGAATGGATAAGTACATTTTGAGGTTGGAAAATTTGACCGATTTTTTTTTTCGATTTTTCAGTTATTGTCCCATGAACGAAATTAATTTCAATAAAAACTTATGAATAAAAGAGTCTGGAAAAAAAGAATGGCTTGAGTCTAGAGCGTGGCCTACAAATTTTCATAACATAGGAGAGTTGCAGAAATTTAATGCAAATCGCCACCATTTTCTCACACAAGCCATTTGACATATCCTTAGAAAAAGTGATTCTAAGACTATCAAAAGGCCTGAGTGTCGGACAAGTAGCATATTATTTAGTTGACAAAGAGCTGAGAGAAAAAAATCTATGAAGTTCCACCATTCTTCCTTACAAGCATATTGCTTGAAAAAAGAGACCCTTAAACGATACAAGAGAAAGCATGAGTATTGAGCATGCATGGAGCATTATTATTTATCTGAAAAAGAGTTGACAAAAAAATGTATAAATGTTTATGCAGGGATATTATTAGGTATAATTATTTTTATAACTTAGATATTCTTCGCACCGGGTGATTGTCTATATTTTGCACCCATACCTATCTCACCTGTTTGAAGAGATAGCGAGAAATGTCAAGGGTGAAAGTTGTAAGTAATATCAGAAAGTTTTCAAGATGATGTTAGTTCCAACTCTACAGGGTGTGTCACAAAAGTGTGGTGAAGCAAATTTATACTTTTGTAAATGGAAAACCCCGTATATGATTGTCCCATTGGATAAGCCTTCGAAACCTGATTCCAAATATACTAGGTTTTTTAGGTTTATTCCTTATAGTCTAGCCTCTAAATATACCATTTTAAACAAATAATATGGATTTTTTACATGAATGATTACCTTTATAATAGGGAATTTTCATATTTCTCTAGTTTTCTTTTTTTCCTTTTCAATTTATACGTTGTACGAAAAAAAAATTATTAAAATTCAAATCAAAAACTTTGGCGCGAAAACACGAAATCTCAATAGACCTGTTTCTGCAGAAATCACAAACCAGTCAGAGTGAATTTCATTGGTTGAAACTAGTTTTCTGATTGTTTTCAACCAATGAAATTCGCTCTGATTGGTTTGTGATTTCTGCAGAAACAGAACTAATATGCCAGCGCTCGTGACGTCAAGATTTTGTAAACAACAAACGCAGCAAACGAACTCCTGCTAACGCAGTGCTATTTTTGTGTTATTCAATTATGTTAAAGTTTGCTTTTGGTGAAAATTGTCGCAATGGATGAAGAATATTGTAAGGGATTGCTTTTGTAAATTTTATTTCATTTGCAAGTTCGCTATCGATAGGTTTGTTTACAAAATCGTGACGTCAAAGAAGCTAGCCATCATATAGAAGCATTGTTTTGGCGGGAAATTTTTTATTTCAAATTTATTGTTATTTTTCGTGTAACAAGAGCGGTATCAGTTGTCATATAAATATTGTGCGGTATAAACTATTGATTCAAAACAAATTTGGAAAATTTTATGCTACTTGCGAGTTCCCTATTTGCTGGTGGTCTCTATACTTCACCTGTTTCAATAAAAATGCAATTACTCCACCCATTTTTTCGTATTTTCTCCTGGACTATTAGGTATAAACTTAAAAAACCTAGTATATTTGGAATCAGATTTGAAAGGCTAATCCAATGGGATAATAGGTAATATAATATGAGATTATTCATTTAAAAAAGTTTAACTTTGCTCCGCCACACTTTTGTAACACACCCTGTATACTTGTAACTAACATCATTAAAAACTTTCTGATATTACCTACAACTTTCACATTTGACATTTCTAAATATCTCTTCAAACAGGTAAGATAGGTGTGGGTGCAAAATATAGACAATCACCCGGTACATATAATATTTGAAGTTTCTCTAATATTATAATATCAATAACCTTGAATATATTCTTCTTATGAATTTGCTGCTTAGGTAAACAATATGTAAGTAATTTTATAGAAAACTTTAAATAGGTACCTATTCTACAAAAGGGGATTTAATGAACATGTGAAAACATGTATGACTGTAAGACAAGGAAGGGCGGATTTACATAATATAGCCAATTTAGTATTTCGCTTTCAAAAGAACTTTAAAATACTTTTTTAATAGTTTTATCAGATTCGTTAAAAAGTTGGTGCATTTTTTAAATATTATTAAATTAAGTAGGTACAGGGTGGTCCAATTTTGACACTTTTAGTAGGAAACGTTAATTTCTGAGCGAGATACAAAAAAATGAACCCCCGACTCTAGGATTCAAATTTCATGAAAATTTTGTTGGTGCAAACCGCATTTTGATATTTTTAACCATTTTGCCGCTAGAGGGCATTTCTCAATACTGTGAAGCCTTCATAAATTTTTTGTTTATGAAAATAGTTGATTTTTGGAAAAACTTTCTAGAAGCACTTTTTTTTTTAAGCAGAATCTATCGGCGTTCTTAGTTTTTTTCTATTTAGCCCCAATTTCAAGATATTAATCAAAGTCCCATTTTTTTCACTAGGACACCCTTAATAATAAAAACTCTTTAGATAGCTCTGTTTTTGCTGCTGTCAATGATATAACTTCCCTTATTTCAAATTTCTGACATTTTGAACGACTTTGACGTTTCGCTTTTCGACGATGACGTAATTTTACTTAGAAAATTTATTTTTTACAATAGTTTTCTATTTTACTGTGGATAACAACAAAAAATGGGTATCAGCAGAAAATCACAAACAAAAATAAATACTTTTTGAGGCTGAAATTTATAAACATAGCTATCAGCTGTCAAAATTATGTATACAAAATAAGGTAATACCCTAGCACCTACTACAGTCTTCCAATAACTGTTTTTTTTCTTGGAAATATAGTGCTGATGCACTAATAAAATAATGTAAATCCTTAATACTGCGAAGCAGTATTTAATAGTTCCAATAACTCTCTAATGTCATTTTGACTTTTATCTTTAAAAAA